TTACAAAGGATTTGGATTGTAAAGATTGGATACGAGAGGAATACGATGGTTTAGTGGATCCCCAAAGCTCAATTCCGTTAGTCCAAATAGGTCTTATTATTGTCATATATATGAGTCGTTTGTAATTGATTGAAAGCTTAGAGCGTTTGTCTAGTAAGTACTGCAGTAGTCGAGATCGTCGGGCGGTTTCTAGTCGTTTCAGTCTGGTATGGGGGTCGTTTGTCAAGTGAGTCGTTTGTCAAGGTGGAGTCCTTTCTTTTTTTTACATTATTTTCTGTTATATAGAACCTTAATGTGCGTCTAGGCATTTCACAAACGATGGGAAAGATAAATGTTTAAATGGTTGTTTTCCTATGCTAGTGTTTTTGTGTCTTATTTTATTTATTTTTTCCATCTGCTGTTGATAACTAGATAAATGAAAAAAAAGTTTGACTTAGAGTTGATGTAGCTATTAGATAAGTTAGTTAAGTGTATTTTCCATCTAGTTTGTGAAATATTTAAACGCATGTTTAACTTTTCTGCAAACAAATACCACCATGACGGACAGAGACGCCCTGCCTTGCCTTTAGGGCCTGCGTTGCATTGAAGCCCGTTAGACCGTATTCAGCGCTCACTCAATGACCCCTGTCCAGTGATCACTATTGATTAGGAACAACAGGCAGGTCATTCTAACCTTACTGCTATAGCCAAATTCATATATGACGGCAAGAGAAATTATCTATATTTAATTCATTTTAAATACTTTAATTTATTTGAACTAATGAGTAACCTTCAGAATGTTTTGTTGATAAATTAATAAAAAATATCCGGTGTGTCCACTCATACGACTTTGTTTTCAGTTTCCCAAAACGATCTCTCCACTCATTAGACAACTTTTAGTTATTTGGCAATAATAACTTACAAATGGTAACAATTGAGTATATTTCTATTATCTTGTCATCTATTATCTTTCTATTATTTTGCCGAATAACTAAAAATAAATAGACAACATTCCAGAAAAAAGAAAAAAATAAGATAACTATTTTTTTATGCATTTATTTACATTGGAACTTATCATCTGAAATGTTCAGAATTGGTCCCAAACTAATAAAAAGTTACCATGTTTTAATGGTAACAAGCGCAAAACAATCCGAAAACACATTTCTTTTCGCATTATTGATCCAATTTAGACTACTATAATTTTGCTTTGTAAAGAGCTCAATTACTCGTCAAGTGATTATACATACGGATGGGTTGGCAAAGCGGCCAATGCGCGTGTAAAACACCGACAACCTGATGAACCGAAAATTATGAGTTTGAATCCCGGAAGGCAGGGGACTTTTAACTCTGGCAGTAATACGCTATCCCCATACAGTAAAATCCTGTGTAGCCGAATGAGAGTGAGAAAAAAAAGTTATTGTATGCACATTGTTCTATATTTCATGGAATTCTATTTCATTTTGTATTTTTTTCTAGAGGTAATTCGTTAAAATTGTTCTAGCCGTTTTGGTTCTTCAATATATATTAAAAGATGATTTTCTGCTATTGTGAGCCATCATGATTTGGGCTATGGATCTAATATAAAAATAAAGAATAAAAAATAAATAAAAAAAGGTACCAATCATGATGAAAACATGATGATGAAATGATGTTGTCACAGACAGACAAATGGCCGCAGCCGCAGGGGGCTTTAAGACACTTAGATCCGTTTATCAAAATTTTGATCTGATCACAAAACATTGATTACCTACTACATAATATTAAACCTTATCTACTATTATACTGTTCCAATTGGGTTTATCCTTTGTATTGTTTCCAAGTGATTTCACAAAAATTTTATTTGTTAGTCCAAAATAATTTTTCATTCATTATGAACTCATGCTTATCTATTGTTTTAATTTAAGTCATATCTTATATAAATATGAGTAACTCATTTTGTTCATAGAATTCAGTTGTATGATGTTACTTCGTTTGAATGATCTTTGTATTTTTTTTTTCCTGTAAAATGTAAGCACTTGATTTCTCTTAACATTTTATTTCAACATTATAAAACATGATTTCATTTTCCATTAACTATTTTCTCATACCAAGTCAATTACTTAATTAATTAATGCGACAATTACGTTAAAAATTATTGAAATTGGTGGGAAAACGATATTAGTTTATCAAACTTTCACTATATCTGTTTTAGGATTCTCATCTTTGATATAGATATACTTTCTAACATCCAATTACTCCAAAACATTACTGCGCAGTAAATAATTTCGCATTATTGTTTGATTAATTTAAACCTCCAGTAAAACCATGTTTTACAAGAGAACTTCTGACAATATTTTTTTTCTCTTCAAATTTGAATTCACACCTGTCATGAATTTGACAATAAGCAGAAGAGCTGAAGTGGATTTAAAAAAACATTTTCCGATTATGTTGAAGAATTGTACCCAGTAGAACGATTTCCCGGTCCTTATTTTCTTCCTTAATTCAGGAAAGGAGACTGAATCAAATCTGAGATTAGTCAACTATTTCGTGCATAATATATCATTTTCAATATTTATTTATGTTATTTTTGTTAATTTTGAATAAGACTTCTCTGAATATTTTACCTACAAATCTCTGTATTTTATTATAACTTTATCAGCTAATGGCTTATTGGAATTCGGCATTAAAAAATCCACTGAACCTTCCGACCAGTTGCCCAATTTAGGAATACAATGCCTAAAACGTTCCTCAAATTAATTGAGGATTTCTACCAGTAAGTATACTTTACTTTTCCTGCTATTTACCTTGACAATATCCAAATTCCTCAGACAGACAAAGTTCAATATCTTGGACTGACCTTTGACAGAAGAATGACATGGGGCTCACATATCAAAAACAAAACAAAAACTCTAACCTAAGACTACGCCTATTGTACTCACTCCTTGCAAGAAATTCGAAATTAAAACTTAGACAGAAATTGAATGCTTATACTTATCTACTTAAGCCTATTCGGACCTTCATAGATATATGGGACATCCAAAAAGACTCACATACGTAAATTACAGAATTTTTAATCTAAAACTTTCAGGACTATCACCAAGGCTACTTCAGTAACATTACTCTTCATAAAGACTTACAGATGCCAACAGTTAACGACCACATACGGACATACTAGAAAATATTTCATAATAACTTACACGGACATATCAACTCATTGATTCGAGGCATGGCCACAACTAACATGCCCGATAGCACCCGAAGGAGGCTTAAAAGAAGCTGGATGAGGGATCTCCTCCACTAACTATAAATATTACACTCAAGACAGGAAGGACGTCGCTGGGTACTCCTATCCCTTACACCTTTTCCAAGACCAATCTTCTACATCTTGACATCATACTCGCTGATTGTCGGAACTTCTGACAGATGTGAGTTGAAGAAGCGAGTTAAAAAAAAAATTATACTTTGACAATGAACTTAAATTAAAAATTAATTTATTGGATAATTAGTTAATTTTGTTATGGAGTGAATTGTTTACTTATATTAGCTGAAATATACCTGTAAGTGATTTGGTCATAAGTTTATAAACAATGAATTTTCCGAATTAAATATTATTTTAATTTAAAATATCTGAGGATAGTTAATCTTGATGAGATAGTTGACAATAACTCACTTCTACGGAAACGATTTTAATGTAAATTACATATTTACATTTAATTACGGTCTGTTAGTTAACATACGGCGTGGATTCCACTACAGCCCGCAACGCTGCTAAGTCATGAGAGATGAGAAGATGCAGCATCTCAGCCTGCTTCAATTAAATGAATCTCACCATCTCGGGACTACATATTTCAATTTTTTATAACAATCACTAACCCCATTTTACTCTTGAATAAGCTACAATTAAAAATAACTAGAAGCCACAATACTAAAAAATATACACAAATTAATTATTGATTGGGCCGAGATGACACTGAACCGCCAGATTTTCCTTCTTAATAAATTATTTAATTAAGATTATCCATTGAGCTACCCTTCTCTTTTAACTAGAATAATAGTCATTGGAAAAATAGGAAGTTTCAAAACTCAGATGGTTTCAGATATCGACGTGACGAATTGTACTTTAAAGACCTTGACTCCGACATCAAGGTCTTCTGTTTTAAAAAAATAAAATATAAATTTATCATAATAAATCGTAATTCATGCCCAAGGCCTCTGACGTTTTTTCCACGGGATACTTATCATATAGATTCACAAAAAGAAATATTTCTATCTATGATAGCCTTTTCGGCGAACTAAAAATAAAGATAAATATATAAAGGAGAATAAAATCTATGATCTCTTGGACACTTCGGATAATATATATATTTTTTAAATGTTTTATATATACACATATATATATATATATATATATATATATATATATATATAATGTACCATTAGAGAGATGGGTAGTTATCTAATGGAGGACTTCCCACCGGGGTGTAATAGTTAATATTAAATATTGAATGAAAGTAGATATATAGTCAATAAAGTCCTACAGTTTTCTGTTAAGATATACAACGACGGAAACATACATGGAAAGAGACAGAGTTGTTAGTAGTGTTGCCCAAAATCGGTATTGGTCTTGCACTTTGCAAGACGAAGACCAAGGCCGCCTAACTGTCGCAAGACTAACACCAACACTGTTTAAAAAAATCGATTTTTTAAATAAAAATTAAGGCAAAATAGTTACTAATATTTGTCAATCTTAGTTACTATTTGTTAATAATTGGTACAACCAATATACTTTTGCATTTAACTCCTCTAATTTTTCATTCAGGCTTACTTAGGTTTCTCCTATCTAAAAAATTACAGTAATATCTCTATAGTAATAAGCTAATAAGTAAATTGATGACTGTTGCGAGATTCTTGCGCAAGACCAAGACTGAGTTTGCAAGACCAAGACTCGTCTCGGTCTCGCATTTGGGCAACACTACTTGTTAGTAAGATATAATCTAAATAATATGCAAGGATGTTCAGACTCTCAATTTCGTCCCGAAGACATGGATGAACCGTTATATAATATTGGTGCCATCGTACCCCCGGAGTTGGCAGAAGGAGTCGGAAGTTTGGGCGGGCGGCCCTGCGGTGGGGCGGAGGTATATAGATCCGCGGCTCTCCCGCCGCCCACAGTCAGCGCTCTACTTCCTAACGGCATTGTCTTCTCCTTGTCTTCCTCCTCATGAAGTTAATAGTACGTACATTCATTAAATATAAACTATATATACACTTTATATCCATTAAGCTTTATTTACGCGAGATCGTTTGAGAATGGCAAGCGTTTTACTCAGGATCGACATGATCTCAAGATAGGAGTCCAACCTAAATATAAATATATATTATTCCTTCTTGATAATAATTAATCATTTCTATTATTAGGAAATAACCTTCTTGTTTATATTAAGCTCTTGACAGTGATTCAAGGAAACAACTCTTGGGATAATCACATCTTCATCATGAAAATATGCACCTTTACTCATTTTTAGTGTGTTGTTATTCTTTCTTAGAGCATTAGTTCAACATTTCGTTGTTTTTTTATAATTTATTTTTTTTAAAATAGCCTTGTAACAATTTTTTTTTTTCATAGCCCCTTTAAGTTTATTTTTGTCTTGAATCTTGGATTTTCATTGTCTTCATAATAGTCCTTTTACTGCTTAAAAGCATTATAAGGAGTATTTTTTTTTTTTTGTCGTTTCTGAGTATTTTATTATTCATCTGTAATATAAAGGGGATGGGGCTCACCTCAGGCTTGAGTTGACCTTATCCTCTAGAGCTTACAACTAAATTAATAAAACATCTATCTCATGTGATTTGTTGCCAACGTTTTGAAATTTTGGCTGGTAATAATTTGTTGAAAAGATGGTTTGCCAATTGTTGGGTTTTTTCGAAAAATGATTTTTTTTTTCATTTTGCGAGAAATTCTTTTATTGTTGATATATTTAGTGTTGCTTGTATATCCAATGTCTTCTTTCTCTGCAGCGTGGTTCCTCTTACAATTTTTCTAATTATTCCATTTTGGAAATATTTTAATCTTTTCCCAGTTGTTTTGCTGATATGTTCGAACAGAGGTGCACCAATACAACAGAGTGTTATACTTGTATAGACTAGAAGCTTTAGGGATAAAGATAGTTTTGTTGTCCAAATTTTGGAGTCTGTACGTCTTAGATCTTACTGTTTTAATTTTTTTGTCAAAATGTCTAGTAAATTTTAAATGTCTGTCGAGGTGAATACCGAGATATGTTAAGTCAGTCGATAATTTAATACTGTTGTTGTTAATTTTGAATTTATTAACAAATAAAAGCCCATCTCTAAACCTATTTACTTGACTTAGCTTTCAAAATCTGCGTGATAGAAAAATGAAATATTACATTCTAAACCAGGTTAAAAATACCAGCGCGCTAGATTATTTAAAGTGAAAAAATAGTACAGCTTAATTGATATATTTTCAAATCCAATATTATCAGCATACGTACACTTTAAAAAAATATTCATATAAAATTATTTTTTAAAATTTAATGCATTTAAAAAAAAATCCCACATGCTATAAACAAAGTAAATTTCATAGTTAAAAACATTGTATCCATAAAACGGTTATAATCGAAAAATATAAAACCTGAATTTGAAACATATATTGATAATTAAATTATTTTTTAGCATTTAAAACAAATTTTGTGTTAAAAAATCTAGACTAAATATCAACATAATCAAATAATATAATACAATAAAATAACATAAAAAGTTCAAGACATAATATCAATTCGTCTGCGTTAAAAATTATCATTTTACAAAAATGAGACATTTTAATAATTCGAAACTAGTAAACATTTATATAAGGGGCTAAGAATAAAATTGAAATAGTTACTAAGAGCATTGACACCGTGCTTATTTCACTGTTCCAAATCATATTTTCGTTATAATATTCTGCACAAAATGTAGTTATATTAAATAATTAGTTGTATAATACTTTCACTAAATGTAATATGTTATTTCTGACTATATTGCAGCTATTGAATATGTTTTTAATTTCTTCATTTTGCTTCAGAAAATAAAATTAACTATCACATCATTTATAGAAAATATTACTTTTGGTAATAACTGTAGGAATAAAGATTTCCAAATTAATAATCATTACGTTTTGTGAGCCGGTTGTCCTATATTTAAAAAAAAACACTTCAATTTTAATGACATTAATTTTGTAAATAATATTATAGTTGATTGATATAATTAATTGGATCAAACCATGAAGATTGTTATCAGCGTCATAAAATGATATTCTTAAGTGTAGATGTATACACGATAAAACCTCTTATCATCATCACAAGGTACAAAAGAATCATTACGTTTCATTTTTTTCTTTTAATAATATTTTCGATATAAAACTATTTTATTGTGTTGCAATGGCTTTAATACAATTCTATTGATTAATTCAAATTCACACCTTATTTCTAACTAACATTATACGATTTCAAAATAATGTAATTCCAATTAGAAGAACAGGTGTAGGCTTATACTTTGAATTTTTTTTTTTTTTTAAACAAATAAATAATTAAATATCAACTGTCTTTAGCTCGGGTTCTCAACCCACTCAAATATCTTTGAGAAATAATACTCTTGTAAACTGAGGCAAACAGTCCTCTTGAAATAACAAAGGATATTTTCACAGTTGTCTAAATACGTATTTTCAAGTTGAAGGAGGAATTTAATTTGAATTCTCTCAAGCGGTATCACCATATTTTTATTTCATTTTGAACTGGTTCGAAAAGATGTTATTGTTGAGTGGGAATTCCGGTAAATTAAATTATTCAAAAATATGTACCGCTTATTATTGGTATATAATGTTGTCATCAAAATTATGTATTTTATTAAACGATTGGTTCCATTGAAATTCAGTTCACAGCTGCAGATTTAAGTTCATTTCGTTATCTTTCAAACTGATTTTTATTATCTCTTGTTATACAGTACAATAAATATGACACAACAAAAGTTTTATGCAACTGTGAAATTGTACTGTTACAGTAATCCGTATTTTTGTACATATGTTTTATATGCATAAAAAGAGTTAATCAGACCAGTATAATAATAGTATGATTACTTCAATTCAAATTTTGTTCAATGTTAAAAGTTTTTTTTTGTAAACAAACCCTTTTTCTTGAATTTCCATTTTGATAAAATAGTATATTTATTTTTATTATAATAATACAATAAAATGATAAGACGTGAACCCCTCCTGCATTCTATATTAAATGTACTATATGTCTTTAACAGTCGATTAAAAAGGGGGATGGTTGTAATTTAACAATACAAATCTGCATTTTGATCATCTCTATTTAATTCTTGTGTAATCAATTAGAGGTAAGATCACAATACAATAGAGAAATCTTTGTTTTTGTTGTTTTTTATTTTTACAATATTTATAGTTTTCACAGGTTGGATTTTTTTTTTTCACTTAATTTTTACTTCACTTTTCATTTTCATTTTCACTTGATACTACACTCTTAGGATCCATTAAATTTTGGTATTTTTTCACTTGTGCATTAATAACATTAATACGACTCTTTTAATGAAAACGCTTCTACTTCATGAAATCAAATGACATTAAATGTTTAGATAAATGTTTTAACATGCATTGTAAGATAATAAGATAGAAAAATACCAACTATCATTTAAATAAAAATGTTTTATTAGGGAGGTGTTAGGGAAAATAGTGACGAAAACCAAATGATGACCGGTTTAGTTGAACGTATGGATTAAAATATTTCATATTCGAAAACTAGGACCTTTATACTTTGAACAAGGGAAATTTTAAGCTTTTCATCTTCTTTGTAATGAGCTATTATTCAAAATTGTATCTTAACCCAACACCGTGTTAGAGAGTAGGAGAGGGAAAAAAATATTGTCCAAAAATAAATGATAATATATAACATTATAATAATATATAAAAAATAAACAGAGAAATAATATAAATGATAATAATATCAGGAATTCTTAGGCACAATTGAAAATATATAATAATATTTCATTATATAACCTTACAACCGGAGATTTCCACATTAATATTATACAGCTGTTGGAAATATCGTAAAGTAGTAAACATCACTAATTTAAATAATTAAATTATAAATCATTAAGATCATTTTTAGATTGACCTTACTTTGATGTCTATATTTTATGCAATATAATTTTGTTATTAACTTTAAAAATTCTTATTAATTCAATTAACCCTAACTACAATACACCTAGAAAACATGGATCAGTAAATTTACATAAAAGTAGCACACCACTTAGTCTTTTTATAATATAATTTATATTTCATATTATTAATCTCGCTTTGTTACTGGTTTCACTTTTTCAAACTAAAGCACACACCTTAGTTTTTTTTTATTATAAATTTAAATTATTTTTTCTTTAGTCTTTATGAAATTATAATAAAAATGAGTCTAAACGAGACTAAAATACTTTTGTTCCAGTAATTTTTTATTTATTTTTATTTATTGAATATTAATACAATCTGCCACACTGTAGGGAAATAAGCATTAGAGCTAAAAATATCCATTCATACAATATATGCATACCAGAAAATTAAATGAAAGTACTTAAGAACAGATTTAAAAAATATAGATAAATAAAACCGAATAAAGAAAATATAAAGAAAGTATACTGATAAAACGTGAAACCTCAAATTTTTCAGAGAGGGTTAAGTTTTTGAATTTTTTGGTCGATCACAATGGTTCATTATTGAAAATAATAAACTAAAAATATTTTAAAACCGCGATATATTTACTGATAATGCTTTGATTTCGATTAAATTTCCTTCATTTTGTAGGCAATTTAATAATAAATCACAATTTCAACAAAAAAAATGTATACATTTTGAGTTATTTGAAATTATTAATAATAATTGTGACAATGTATAACTCAGACGGTCAATATATTCGATATTGACCGTGTAATGTGAGCTTTAGAGGGATTTAAAACTATTATTCAGATGTTTTGTTGTATAGTAAAATACTGTTTTTATTATACAAATAAAACCATTTTTTCAAAATAAAAGAACTCCTTCCCATTACACATTTAAAATTCTATAAGTGTAAAAAATAATATTCAGTATTAGTATTAGCTAATGGTTGGTTTACAGACTATATAACGATCAAAGGCCTAT